ACCGAATGCTTTCCCGTTACTCTCTCTTTAATGTTTGGCCTCCAGGAAAGTTTTCTATCGAGGATGAGCCCTAGGTATTTCACTTTCTCAGCAGGATGAAGAAGTGAACCCCCGAAGGAAGGGAGAGGCACATTTGGTATCTTATACCTTCTGGTAAATAAAACCATTTCGGTTTTACTTGGATTGACGGCTAGGCCGCTTCTATTCGCCCAGCTAGATACCATGTTCAGCTACCCTCGGTGAGCTCGTAGACGGTATTCAGGAACTTTCCCTTAACCATAAGAACCACATCATCAGCGTAGGCTGTCACCCGACAGCCTTGCGTCTCGAGTTCTATAAGTAGGTCGTTTACCACCATTATTCAGAGCAGAGGGGAGAGTACTCCCCCCTGCGGAGTTCCTCTATTCATTTTTCTGGTTGTCTTGGCACCATCCCACTCCGCTGCGACAGTTTTGTTGCAAAGAAGACTAAAAACAAGGTGCTTGAGGATAGATTCCACCTCAAACTTTTCGAGGGCTTTAACCACTGCCTCTGGTCGCACATTGTTGAAGGTCCCCTCGATGTCGAGAAAGGTGGCCACAGCAAATTCCTTGTGCTTGAGAGCTATCTCCAGCCATGACACTACATCATGCAAAGCAGTGTCGACCGACCTGTCTTTGATATATGCATGCTGCGCCCGTAACAGTTTACCCCTCGGTATTCTGCTCCTAATGTACAGATCCATAAGCCTCTCTAATGTTTTCAACAGAAACGAGGATAGGCTGATGGGTCTGAAATCTTTTGCACCGACGTGAGAGCTTTTGCCGGCCTTCGGAATGAAAGTAACCTTAACCTGTCTCCAGACCTTCGGACATGGCCCAGTCAACAGTTCGCATAGATGGGGCCAGCCAGCTGCAAGACATCTTAATCCGTACGTTGTAGTTGCGCTGGAATAATGCCATCGTGCCCCGGGGACTTGAAGGGTTTGAAGGATTTCAACGCCCAGGTAAGGTGACGATCGTCCAGAAGGTCCAAGAAGGCTGTACAGTCCTCCTGCAGCTCCCCCAGTGGCACTTCTTCAGCAGAGTGATTTAGTGGAAAATGAGCATCCAGTAGTAGTTTCAACGACCCTCGCTACTCGTTGTCCAACTACTATCTGCATTTTTAGATACCCCACTGTAGTAGAATTTTTTGCCTCTGCCAGAGCTCTTCTCAGCAGGTACGGAGGTGGCTCCACCTCGTCGTCGTGCGGCATGTAGGCTGAGACAAGCCAGAGTGCTCCAGCGCTGTCCTCCAGTCTAACAGCGACGACATCCTCGTTGCTGAAATTAGGCAAAAGAAAACGTTAAGTTTGTTTCTGATCAACAAGCAGGCTTTGGTCTACCTGTACTGTTTGCCGCCAGGAGCTTAAGGCTCTTTGTCCTTACTGACCAGAGATACCGTTTCTGCTCAGCCACGGTTCCTGGATAAGGACAGCGTCGGCTTCGTCCCGTCCTAGACGAAGCACTAGATAGGCGGCGGCCGCCTTTGAGTGCTGGAGGTTAATTTGGAGGATCCTCATCCTCCAACTTCTCTCCAACAACCTCGAACAGGCGGTCGAGACTGAAGACGGATCCATCATCGCCTGACGATCGCCCTCCGTGCTCACCGTATCCGAGAGGATGGGGTCGATGTCCATTTTAGAGTGGGTCGCTCTCCACTCTCTTCCACCTCAGCTGGTGGCAACGGGCCATCAGCCCTGGCTTCAGTTAAGAGAATCCTGAGGACGACTCTTGAAGCCATAGCTTATGGCCCCCTTTGCAATGCTGAGAGGAGCGAGGGACTCTTGTTTAGGAGTATCAGCACTCGCCGATATGGTTGCTCGGTCCTCTCCAGCCTAACCACCTTCCAATCTTGGGCGGAAAGAGATGGATTGCAGTACCGCATATCTCTTCAATTTCGGTCGGGTAGAGGTTCGGCCGAAAGCCAGACACGAGCACAAGGTCGCATCGAAAGATCCGATTTGGCCACCGCCTCGAGCCTTGCTCCTTCCATACATTCCCCACCCTGGCTACCGCCTACTTATAAAGGAATGCCGACCGTTCGTCGGCACGCCTTATAAGTTTGTGTAAGCCGAGGTTCCACCCGGCACTTTCACATCTAGGGGTGGTCCAGGGCTTCCCTGACCACTTTCATGAACAACAGCGGAGATAGCAGCCGCTACCCGCTCCATTCATCATGGGAGATGGCTCCATCTCCCCTGCTGCTATCGTATACCCCGAGCTCAATTGAGCTGGCGAGTTTAGCGCTTTCGCTAAATAGTCATCCGTACCATTTACTGCATACTTTGAATTAGAACGAATATCTGAAATACCTGAGACTTCCTGATGTGAAAAAAACCTTTTAAGCTGCAACCGCCTCGCTGTTTCCAATAATGCACGAGCTGGCTGCATCACTCCAAATTTGTCCTGTATGTAAATTAAGGCTGTTGGTATGAGTGAAACTGATGGATTAGTTGGTGAATGATGCGATGGATTCGACGAAGTAACCGGCACTGGTGTTTAGTCTTTCTCTTTAGGTTCTAACTTTTGTACAAATAGATAGTTTGTAGCTCCAACGGTGGCGAAATGTAGATAAGAGTGGTGCGATTGATGACATATACGGCAACGAGATTTCGATGGGCTTTTAGATACTGTATGTCCTTTGCGTAGGCAATTGATGTAAGCACTTGTTTGCTTCACCCAATCAAAACGCATTTTAACTGTTAACTGTAGAAATGAAGGACAATTGTTTAGACTATGTTCTGCGTTATTGCAATGTATGCAATTTGACATCGCGTTAATGAATGAATTTGCATTTTTCTTACCGAGTATCTTACAATCTCGCTGTGTTACCTTTGAGTTTTTCCCGTTTGAAGATGTTTCTAAATACTGACAGTGCCGATTTAACCACTTGTAGCAATCGTCCCATGATGGTAAGTATTTAAACTCTTGCTTTTGATTGTATGTCGATTTTGAATCAGAATCAATTTTAGTTAAGACGATATGAATTAGCATTGAATTCATTATATCGCCTTCTGAGCCCAACGAGAGTAACGAACCTCGCAGCGCTGCAACATTGTCAATGATACTACGTAGACTTGCTGCGTCAGATCTATCATAACTGGAATATTAAAAAGCGATATAATGTGATCTTGAAACATCAATACGTTATTGTCGTATCGTTCTTTGAGCCGTTGTATAGCCTTCGCGTAATTTTCTTCGGTTACCTGAAAGGGTTCGATTACGCTAAGGGCTGGTCCTGAAAGACAGTTCAAAAGATAATTAAACTTGTCCACCTTTGGTATTTTTGGGTCATCGTGCACCATGTTGCAAAAGGTACGGAAAAACGTTTATATTTCGCATATTTGCCGTCAAATTTTGGCAATTTGAGCGACGGCAATCGATTATGATGACTAGTATTTCCGAATGCCGTTGCGTTGAATATACTAGTGTTCAGAAACACGGTTTCTGGGGTTGATTAACGAAAGTATTTTAGATTTTGTTGAAATATACGTTTCTTCAACTTCTGCTCTTGATTCTTCTGACGGGGAAAGAGCTTCAATATTGTTCTGAACGTCGCAAAGATGTTGAAAGTAGGACTCAACAATTTGTAATCGGCATTCGAGAACATGGGTATCACTGTCGACTTCTTCACAAGCAATTCGTTGTTTTATACTATGTAGGTTGCGAAGAAACGTAGAACGTATTTGAATTAGCGAGGAAAAATGTGATTGTTCCTCATCGCCATGTTAGGCAAATCGGCTTTACTGTTATAAGGCATTTGAAGGAAAAAATAAAATATATACGAATAACTGAACTATGAAGAATATGATGATGTTGATGTAGATGTAGCAAAAGCAGATCTGCAATCTGATGAAACTGTTCTGCAGTCCCGTATACTCGCACTGTGATTTTGACCAGTTGACTAACTGTCGGTAACTTCGACAGATGTTGATGAAAAGAAGGTCTCGCATGAATGTTGAAAACCACGTGTAATCTGTATGTACGTTTACAGTGGATACTACGATGATATGTGGCAAGAGTTGCTATCTGCGCGTACACAGAATGTTGCCTGGGCACAACAATCCGAATGATCCGTTGATTCAGATTGTTGGATACCGCTACACTGCTACAGACGATGATATAGTGTGGGCGAATTTCGTGTGGTTGAACAAACGCAGAGCCAGCTCTTTCCAGTATTGAAACGAATTTTAATTTAACTGAAAATTAGACATTAATCTATTGGCTTTCTTTGATCGAAATATTAAAATTAGAACGCATAGTCCTGTCACAGTCGCCAAATTATGTTCCAGCCCAAAAGTAGATTAATGTCCAATTAACAATTTTGATTTTATTTAATTTAATTTTACATTTAATTTTATTTTCACTCTTAACACTCCTAATGCTCTATTAATAATGTGCTTAATCTTATGTTAGCACGGGTTTTTATCCCGTCTTGTGCTTATTTTCTCATTACCTACATATGTAAGCATATGCGTATATGCTTATGCGGGCGTAGGTATGAAAATATGTATTATGTGTATATATGTACCTACTTACAAATTGCAAAGCAAAAAGTGAGAACATAAAAAATGCTATTATGTACAAATCATAGAAAATCGTAACATATGTATATGAATGTAAGAATTTGTGTGCATATGCATAAGCGGTGCTCTCACAGAGGTGAATAGCCTAATTCACAGTCACGGTCATCCGATTTTGCACAGTGTCATACTTCTGACCAAACACACCCCTCTTCTTATGTAATAAAACACCATATTCTGGAGGAAGTTTTTAACTATGTTGATTTGGGAGTTAATATGGACCCTAAGCTTAGCTTTTGTCTTCATATTGATATCATAGTCTTGAAAGCAAAAGCTGTCCTCAGTTTTGTTAAACGTTGGTCTAAATAATTTAGAGATTCGTATATTACTAAAATACTCTATACAACTTTGGTTAGACCTATATTGGAATATGGCTCTGTTGTATGGAACCCTAACTACCAAATCCATTCTGGCAAGTTAGAGTCTATTCAAAAACAATTTTTACTTTTCGCCTTGGCGCATTTCCGATGGGATTCTTGGGTAAGTCTACTTCCATACACTAGTCGTTTAGAACTTATTAATCTACCTACACTTTCTAGTCGTAGGGAAATGCTTGTCATAATATTATAAGTGAAAATCTTGAATGGAACAGTTTGCAGTTCTTCTGTCCTGTCTGAAATTAAATTTAATATCCCGGTTCGCTTTTCGAGGCAGTTTAGACCTTTACTGTTAAAATCCAGTAGATCAAATGAACTAAACGAGCCATTCCGCCGTATATGTCATGATTTTAATTCTCATTCCAGCACATTTGACTTATCTGACTCACTTTTCAAAATTAAAAAGACTTTATTGTTTTCTCTTAATGAATGAAAATGTTACAATTTATTATATTGTAACTATAAATCTCTTTGTTGACATTTTTGTTTCTGTAGCTGAGCAGTTTTAGATCTCAACACTCAAAAAACTCTCTTGCCTTTTCTGACTCGGCTAATTCCGCACGTATGCGGATTGCGCCCCTCGCGTCGGTTGGACGGGAAGAGGGTAATCGTTGGGTTATTATTATTAAAATCTATATCTTATTAACTTATATTTTAGGTCATAGACAAAAGTAGTTTTATAACTACTTTATAGGTTGGATACTGTTATTCACCTACTTTATGTTTATCTTGAAATGACAATGGTGACATTAACCAAAAACAGTCGCAGATAAAAGCATTTAGTCTGCCTTGGATACACGTCCCATATAATTTGATTTGAATAAACCGGTACATGCATCAACTAGTGTGCCTTGCTTGCGTGGCATCCATTTTTTCAATTGAGTCCATGTTAAATAGCGTGGTACTTCTGAATAGAGCCGACTTTGTGCAAAGGCACCAAAAACATCCTCATGATTACACAATTAAAAAATTCGCCTAGCGTAGTTTTTGGTGGACTTATAGCACGGTCAATGCTTTTTTGTACGTAAAAAACACGCGTTGGCCGTTTTTAAAATGCACATCTAAATGGATAACAGCTGGATCCCATTCATGAATTGGGAAGCCGAATATACGCACGGCAGTTTCATTTGAGCTGATATATTTCATGATTTTCATTTATTTGAGGAGCATTTGCATTGGTATTCTCTATTCAAATACTTGCAAATATATTTGATGCTCTTCACCGAACTCTTCACCGAAGTTGCAGAATTCAACATTAAAATGAGCATTGAATGTTCTACTTAGCACAGGTGGATATGATACCACCCATCGATTGTTAATGTCAATGTCCGTATTATTGGTATTTTCAATGAATGACTGATCGGTATTTCTTCGGCGATATATTATATTAGATATCCGTCAACATGTTCGACCGTATCGTTGGTCTTTTAGGCATGGACCATGAATCATGTTTTTAGTAACAATATTAAAGAATAATTGACCAGTAAACGGGTCTGGTATTTCTGCCTAAATTAAACTATCTATTTCTTCAGCACATATTTTGTCGATGAATCAAATCAAAGTATTAGCATGAGGCATCCTCAACCGAATAAATCCAACAGCGTGTAGCGCCACATACTTGTAATTTCGTAATTCCAGGCCATATTCACCACGGTCGTCCATATTCACCTACAAAAGTCATAGCATCCTGTATATATTCCTACCAATTTGAACAGTATTAGCGTTGTTCGCAAAGCATCTCGGAGGTGAATATATTTTTCTGGACGCAGCTTCTGTTAGTAATGTCGCAAGTATCGTAGTTGTTCACTCTCTATCTTCACATAGGTACATGTCCAACATGAATTGTTGACAAAGCTCACGATAACGTAAAATGATTTTGTGTTGACCACGTCGCATAGTAAAGTTTTATGTCTCTGGCGCATTTATTTCTAGATTTAACGCCCTTTTAGTAGTTTTTAACAAAACTGTTATATGGAGAGTCGGCGGGGTTAAAATTTGCATTCACTTATTTTTACAGAGTAGGTAGGGATGCCAAAAATATTTGTTCTGAGCGAATTTGGTTATTATTGCTTAAAAGGTTTAAGATATATGCAAATTAAAATTATTAGTGGGAGGGGCTACGCCCACTTTATATTTTTTCAACCATAGATGCCACTTCCTAATGCAATTCGTTGTTTAAAATAATAGCCTTGTATCTTAATGTGGAGTTTAATTATGAGTGCTTAGGTGCAAAGTAACATGTGTACCAAGTTTTATCAAGATACTCGTATCTCAATTTTTACTTAAGTTATCGCTTGCACAAACGAACAGACAAACAATCACTCGAATTTTTACACGTCTTGTCATCCTGATCATATTAAAAAATGTTGCGAAAGAATTCAACATTCATTACTCGAAGAAACCGTGAATGACAAACACGCTCACTCAATTAAATTAAGATAACTCACATATTGATATACTTGTATGGGGTGTAAGTCAACTGGAAGTAGGCTGCAGTCCGATTTCACCTGTTTTCGCACTGCAACATGGGTATGTATCAAAATAATTCTCTGTACCAAATATGATTGAAATTGGTCCAGTAGGTCCGGAGATAAGTGATTTCACCTAAATGTGGGCGGTAACAGGCCCATCTTCCAAATTGAACACCTGTTTCTATAAAGCCCTCTCGTACCATCTCGGGTGTAAAATTTAATGTCTCTGACGCAACTAGTTATTGATTTATCGAACTTTTAGAACTTTTTGTCCAACTTTGGGTGATATAGCTTGAATGGTTTGAGAGATATATATATTAAACCTAATAGACCCCACTTTTTAAAAAATTTCAAACCACAGGTGCCCCTGCCCGTTGCAGTTTCGTATCTCAATTTGGAGCTTAGTTATGGTTGTTTGTAGGCGTGGAAGTGGTCCAAGTACGTTCATGTACAAACACTTTCTCAGTTTTTTTGCCAAGGAACACGTGTACCAAGTTTCACTAAGATATCTAAATTTTTACTCAAGTTAACGCTTGCACAGACCGATAGGCGGACGGACGGACAGACACTCGGATTTCAACGCGTCTCATCATCCTAATCATTTATATATATATATATATATAAACCCTATATCTAGCTCGATTATTTTTAAGTGATACAAAAAACCGTTAGGTGAACAAAAATATTATACTCTGTAGCCACATGTTGCAATAGTATAATAAATAATTATGTTTATATTATGAACAACGAACAACTCACATATTAAATAAATAGCATAATAATTTAAATTTTCTACAAAGAAAATAAAATAGTTTACTAATACATAAGGAAACTAAAATTCTCCTACTAAAACGGCCAAATGCCTCAGAAAGGGCACAAGCCTATAGGTGTTGCCGTGTTAAGATTTAAAATTTATAACTTTTTCAAGATTCCTAAAGATTAAATTACGTAGTTTTAATGAAAACATTATTTATTGTATCAAAACATTATTGCCTCTTACATACATGCCTTTGCCAAGATGGTGGTATTACTACGATATTTCTATCACTCAAAACGAAACGTCAGAGACCTATAATGTATATATACAAATAATCAGCGTAACGAGCTGAGTCGATTTAGCCATGTCCATCTGTGTGTCCGTCTGTATATACGCGAACTAGTCTCTTAGTTTTTAAGATATCGGTCCGAAATTTTGCACACATCCGCTTCTCACAAAGAAGCTCCCCATTTGTTGGAACCGACGATATCGGGCAACAATAGCATATATCATAGCTGCCATACAAATTGAACCATCAGAATAAAGTGCTTGTTCAAACTACAGTTGCAGCAACAAAAATTACTACATTTAAACAGGCGTCCCTCAGACGTTGCGAGAACGTAAATGAACGAGAAGGTGCAAATTAAATTTTGTATGATGCTCGATTGGAAGCCTAACAGAGCTGAAAGCAATCGAGCAGGGAATTTACAATTTTTTGTGGTAATCGCTGCTATTTAACAGAAATGAGAATTTATAACAACGTTCTCTGGCAGAAATACGTATCTACCAACATAAAATAAAATACTTTGAATAAAAAATACAAATGCCACTTTACATATGCGTGATTATTTTTTGTCATATAAAAGATTTTGATGATGCAAAATTGATAAAATAGGATTTTTTTGCATAATTTGGCATGATAACTTGCGAAAGTTTATACAGGAAAAGTATATTTTACTTTTTTAATAATTTTCTAATTTCAGTTGTTACAAAATTAATAATATATGTACATTTGTACATACAAATATACTTATGTACATCAATATGGAGTTCATTTGCATTCTCTGGTATGTACACATTGAGAAATAGAATTTTTAATATTATCACTTATCAATAAATACATGTGCGTGCACTGCTCTATATGTGCATACATATGTATG